GCTTTTTTTTGTACTCGTATGGTTGAGATTACACGCTCGCTCGAAGTCATCTGGAACTGTATAGAAAGGTCCCTCAACTCTTAGATTTTTTTGACAGAAATTTGCATACTCTTTATTCAGACCTAACCTATTGTTAAATGTTATCCTCTCTGCTGTTTTGTGTTTAGAACTTTTTATACTAAAATATTTACATTCCAATACATTATTGATTATTGTGGATATTTATGCTAAACGAATTAAATTGGACCACTAGAAAGTGGATTGATTGAAAAAACTGGTTACGGCCCTGTTGGCTTATGCTAAATGGCTGGAACTAGTCTTCATTGAAGCCGCTAATTATTTAGAAGTTTTTGGTGAAAGAGCAAATTAAATCGAAAAAACTGATCACGGCCCTTTTCGCGTATGCTAAATGGTTGGAACTAGTCTTCAAAGACGCCACTAATTATCTAGAAATGTTTGGTAAAAAAAAAAAACTAATATAATCGAACCAATAGAACCTGAATTAATCGGGAAAAATTGATAACCGCCCTTAATTAATTGAAAAAATGTAATAAGGCCCTTTTGGCACATGCTGAACGAGTAGAACTAGTCTTCAAATAGGCCAATAATTATTTAGACATTTTTAGAAAAAGAATAAATTGAATCGAGTCGATAGAACATTAATTGATTGAAAAAATAGAATACGGCCCTTTTGGCATATGCTAAACGGGTGAAATTGGTCTTCAAATACGCGACTAATTATTTGAAAATTTTTGGTAAAAGAACGAATCAAATCGGATGGCTAGAACACGAAATAATTGAAAAAATAGAATAAGGCCCTAACGACATGTGCGCAGATGGTCAAAATCCGGTTTTCGGACATTCCCCTAATAGTGAGGGTTGCGCACACCCCGGAAAAAGCAGCCTCGCTGTCCCCGCCTAAAAAGAGTTATGGTATAGTTAGGTATTTTTAAAATTTTTCATATCACCCCTTTTTGGCCCTAAGGGTTGTTAGTTGGGTAATAGATAATGTCCAACTTGACTGAAAGTATTATGGGGTTATGGGCTGGATAGTTTTTAAATATATTATTATACATATATGTAGTTAGTCGGCAGTGAAAATATCCATGCATGTTTATCATCGATAAAATATAAATGCAAGTTTGAGCTTGTTGTTTTTGCTAGAACGGAAACGCTTATCAGTTATAAGTAAAAATAACCGTGAAATATGATACCCCTGTTTACAACACAACGACATTGAACGTCGGCGGCGTGCTGATTCATGAATTTTTCTTATTTACCACTACGGCATCCTGTAAAAGGACACAACGCACTATGTACGCTAGATGGCGCCACCGATAACATAATGACGTCGAAAAATTTGGGGTTGGCCCCGGGTCAAATCCGAGTAATTTCAGATCAAAGGCGCCGCCGATCTATAGATTTTCCCACGGTATCGAAAATTTTCCCAGACTCAGGTCCCCTCATTACTACTACTAACCATTTTTAGTCAACTGATACTGCAATGATGAAAATATTCACATACTTATACGCTAATGACGTAACGCCTTCTCTTATTATTATTGTCACAGGTTCAATTGTTTATTCTAAATAAAAATATTTTATCAGTATTGTGGGTGGACGGCTCAAGCAGTGTAATTTCCTATGCGACGCGTTTGCCTAATTTTTGGTTTTGATGGTGAACATGTTAAGATAATTTAGCAATATATCGATGATAGGTAATGAATAATTGAAGCAAAAATTCCAGGAAAATCCTTATGGAAAAACTTGAGACGGAATTATTTTTGTAGAAAAATATTTGTATAAATGAGTCATGGGTCTGTCATGTTGATAATAAAAGTCACTCGAACTAGCGGCGATTTTGATCTGAATACGAGCTAAAACGTTGTATTGATATGATGTAAATAATAAAAAAGAAAAAAAAATCTCCGGCTTGTTGTCGCTGGTTTCTTATATTGAAACGAGAGACCTCAGCTTTCTGATTGGTTAGAGACTTGTTAGGACTTGCTTATCGCAAGATGCCAACGTAATAAGCAACAATAAAATTGAAACGATGGCCCATATTTCTAGGAAAAGTTCGCTGGCGTGTGCAGATGGATACGAAGCTGGTGATTGGCTACAGACTAGTTAGAGCTTGTTTATCGCAAGTCACAGGAAAGTAACAAGTTATGGTATCGCTGCGGTTGCAATAAACGTTGAAGACCTGATGGCGAAACGACGTTTTTATTATTAGTTACGTCATCATCAGACCCGATGGCTAAACGACGTTTTTATTATTAGTGACGTCATCATCAGACCCAATGGCGAAACGACGTTTTTATTATTAGTTACGTCATCATCAGACTCGATGGCGAAACGACGTTTTTATTATTAGCGACGTCATCATCAGTACAATGCACCTTGAATGAGGTACCAAGTCACGAGGTGCTATGTGTGTTCGATCAGCCGCTTGGAGCCAGGTATGGTCAATGACCTTGAAGCAGCGACAGCTGACGCGACCAATGAAAGACATGGGCACTGAAAAGGGGGCGGGGACGGTTATTCCTGGAAATTTTACCCCCCACTCCAAAATGGACCAAAAAAGTGCAGAATGAAGCTTAGATTTTCTTATGGAGATTTACATGGGAAAATGACTGATTTTGGCCTAGAACTGTCATAGCTCCTTTACTACGTTGTTATCTCTTTTTCTTTAGCTTTCTCGCTTTATTTAGGAAAATACATGTACTTTAGAGTCTGTAAAGTATTTGCTATGATTTCATCATTACATTATGGTATATCTTTCAGAATTTCTCCTGTTTTTTTTTTGTGAAATTCTCCATCTGAAGATGTTACTCTGGTATCTGGATCTGATTTGTGAATGGCATGAAGTTGTATTGCAGGAGCTCTTGATAGTGCGTCTGCATTCATGTTTGATGTTTCTTTGTCTGTATTTGATCTCATAATCAAATTCGGATAAGTTTAGTCGCCATCGGACTAATTTAGAACTTGGTTCTTTAACATTAAATAGCCATTGTAGAGGTTTGGGATCTGACAAGATTGTGAATTTTCTACCAAAAAGATAAGGTCGAAAATATTTTGTTGCCCATACGATTGCTAAAAGTTCTTTTTCAATCGTCGAATAATTACATTCAGCTGGGCTTAAGGTTCTAGATGCGTATGCAATGGGAAAATTAGCTCCGATAGGACCTTGAGATAAAACAGCTCCAATTGCATAGTTCGAGGCATCGGTTGTCAATAAGAAAGGTTTCATAAAGTCAGGATGTTGTAATATGGAGTCATTTATTAATACATTTTTACAAGTTTCAAAGCTATTAAGAAATGCTGCATTGTGTATTATTTTTATGTCCTTTTTTATACAAGATGTCATTCCTACTAATCTTTAAAATGATTTTATTTCTTTCACCGTCCTTGGTATTGGGAATTTCTTAAATGCCGTTATTTTTTTTGGATCTGGTTCTATTCCATTTGGCTTAGTTACGTGTCCTAAGAATTCGACTATCTTGTGTAGAAATTCTGATTTGTTTAATTGTATTTTTAAATTAAACTTTCCGAGTCTCACAAATACTTTCTTCAAATTTTTCACATGTTCATGAAGTGAAGTAGAAAAAAATAATATATCATCCATGTATACTAGACATATTCTATTCTGTAATCCTAGTAATACAATATCCATCACTCTTTGGAAGGTTGCTTGTGCGTTCTTTAATCCAAAGGGCATTCTGTTAAATTCGGAATGACCATTTGCAATATTAAATGCTGTCTTGGGTATCGAATTTTCATGCATCTCGACTTGATGAAAGCCAGAGGTTAAATCCAGTGTCGTGAAATAGGTAATTACTACGACCAAATCGGTCTAATATATCAGTGATATTAGGTAGTAAATATCTATCATCAATAGTTTTTTCGTTTATCTTTCGATAATCAACGACCATTCTCCATTTTTTTATGCCTGCGGCATCTTCTGTCTTAGGTACTATCCACACAGGGGATGACCAGGGACTACAGGATGGTCTGATTATGTTATCCTCTAGCATTTTGTTTATTTGAGAATTTACTTCTTGTTTATGCACATGTGGATATCTATACGTTTTCGTATGCACTGGTATTTCATCTGTGGTTTTAATTTCATGTTAAACTTGATTGGTGAATGTTAATTTTTAAATTCGCTTGTGGAAAATTTTGTTACATTACATGTTTTGAAGCATCAAATACCTCTGAGTTTAACTGACATACGCAGTGACTTTATAGGGTCATTTGCATATTCATCATTTTGTAATAAAGTCATTTATTCTATATTAAATATCTCAAACTGTTCATCAGCATAAGGTATACTTATATCCGCCAAGTTATTAATATTATACGAGAGAATAATAGACTTTAATCATTAAGTGGTGTTCTAAAGCTACCATCTCATTCATGACTGTTGTTATTGTCAAGGGAATATAATATGTTTAATTTTTTATTGGTGGTGTAAGAATTTCACTTTCCCGAAACTCAAATACTTTGAGTATCCGTACGACTGCGCTAATTATATTTTCAATTCAGAAACTTGTATTTTAAAAACATTTATTTATTAATTGAAATACAGAGGTGACAAAAGAAAATCTGTCGATCAAGTTGCTACAGCAAAAGCTTGAAAACAAATGAACGTTCGTTATGGGACTGCGCTGGCTTAAATAGTAATTTAATGCCGATTTAGCAAATTGATGTTTACTTTACAACAATGTATTTAAAAAATCATGGTGGATAGGGGTAAGCTCATTAAAGCATATAAAAAATGGATAATTGATTATTAATTAGCGTGGCAATTGGTTAATATAACTAGCTGTCTCTAGTGTGTCGTCTTAATCCATCAATTTTGTCTGGCATTGATAATTATCAATTATCATCAACTACCTACTACAAAAAATAAATGAAATTAAACTCTGAAAACTGGATGAAAAAATAAAATATAGGCAAAGGCAAATAACTACTAACTAAAGCAAGCCCTTTTTTTTCAGAAAAACAAATTTCTGAACAATTCAGCATGCCGAAGTTATTTTCGATGCAAGAATGGGACCACAATTTGAAGTTTAAGCTGGATTATCAGAACTTTCTAGTCTACGATTTTTATAAACTCAATAATGGAAATTTCCACGAAAGGAGATACGAATCTTATAATGGTAAGTGGATTGGGGTACTTTTCTAAATATTTATGCATTCGGCGGAGCCATTTTAACCTGTCAAAGGGGATTTCTTCGTAAAATCCTAATGCACATTGGGATTGTATTTTCACCAGTACACAACACTTGAAAATCGACATTTTGGTACATTTTAAAGCATTTCAAAATCCAAACGGCTTTATACACAGGCCACGAGAAGCTGCACATTCGACAATATTTCAGAAGGATTCAAATTCAACCTCGAAAGTAATGGAAATTTTATCTTCGGTAGTTTTCTTTGACCTATTTCCAATTGATGATTGATCATCGGCATACTCAATCATCAAAAAAAAAATTCAAAGGCTTTAAGCTAGCGTTTGAAAAAAATATAGCGAAAAAAAAATAAAATCATGCTTCTCAAATAAAGCTCCTGCAGACTTATTTGTTAGAAAAATTACAGGCTGTTCAAGAAAAACTAACATTAATAAGTATCCAATTTACAGAAACTTTTAATACTGACTTGACACTAAGTGGAGCGATAAACTTTGCAGTTATAGTTTTTATGCAATGTGCTAAGTATCAAAAAGTCGGGTTGTTATAAAGTTTTTTTCATAATACAAACACTTTGTTTTTTTTTTTCAATAATTAGTTATCTGCAATAGTTCGTTAATTTTTGAATCAAAATTTATTAGGTCATTAATTATTATGGTATGTACACAAATTTAATTTGGTTATTCAAGCGGATTAAAGATTTAAGTATTTAACACAGCAAGTTGTTCTGGTTTTCCGAAATTTGTCGTTATTTATAAAATATATAATATTTTATATTATTTTACTCTGATTTTTGCAAAACTAGGTATTTAGTTTGTTTGTTTTTTACAAGCTTTTATGTATGTATGTATGTATGTATGTATGTAATCAAATCTTGCAACTCATTTTTGAAGAACTTCCAAACATCGGATTGACTTCAAATTTCGCATAGCGTCTTAGTTCCGATGACAATACAATAATATGGTTTCATCGGGTACCTACCTCCCCCCTAACGTGGGGGGTGGAGAGGGGGTAAAACTTTAGTTTGTCCGATTTCAACCAAAATTGGTATCTGGGGGTTTTTGAGGATGAGAATTACGAATTTTTGATCAGATTACAAAAATTCAATATGGCGGATTCAAAATGGACGATTTAATGTCAAGTTTTTCTGATTACTTTCTACTGACTTCCACGTATCCGATTGACTTCAAATTTCGCATACCGTTATAGTTCCGATGACAATCCAATAATGTGGTATCAATGACTGCCTGCCTCACCCCTAACTTGGAGGGCGGAGAGGGGGTAAAATTTTAGTTTGTTGGATCTCCACCAAAATTGGTATCTGGGGGTTTTTGAGGATGAGGATTACGAATTTTTGATCAGATTACAAAAATTCAATATGGCGGATTCAAAATGGACGCCAAATGGCCAAAGTTATGTTGCGGTCCAACATAGATGTGGTTTAGTGAACCCAACCAAAAAAAAACTTTTTGAAAACAAGCTTTTATAAAATGGACTAAAAAGCATAAAATAATTTTTTGAGTGTTCTGATATCATAATAATAAAAGCGATGGGTGTATTAAATATTAGGTAAATGCCTTTCCATGCGCATTTGGTGGATCGTCCACAACCGATGATGGGCCGACTCTTCTTTTTCAATGTGACAAAATAAATCCGACACACTGCGGATGATCTGCCTAATATGAAGCAGGCGTAATAATGTCCATCCATATCAGAAAAATGTAAGGGTAGCTTGAGCAGGGTTTGGTTGGGTTGGGTTAAATTGTCTACCCTTACATTTCTCTGCTATAATATAATGAATTTGGATTTTCACTAAACTTCGAAATAACAAGGCTAAAACAAAAACGGGTAAATTTCCTTTAATACGCCCATCGCTTTTATTATTATGATATCAGAACACTCAAAAAATTATTTTATGCTTTTTAGTCCATTTTATAAAAGCTTGTTTTCAAAAAGTTTTTTTTTCTAAATTTATTTTGTATATTTGCTGACAAAAAATAGGAAATTCATTTCAAATAAACCTATGTAAGTATACTTACTTTTCGAATTCAGACAAAAAAAGAATTATCGTTGAAAGTCAGCAATATTCAGCAGAGAGACTCGAGAGGCGCTCCTTTGAAAATCCCAAATTAAATGGAATGTATAGTGATAGTCTTGCTCACGCTTGAACGATCCATTCCTAAGTAAGGCTCTTTTTTAAGCTTGCTTATTTTTTAATGATTGCCGTAAAAATTATGGATTTGACTAGCATGTCAATATTGTCAAGATTATCTTTCACCCCAAACATCTATGGACACCGTCTAGGTTATTGACTCTACAGAATCAGGAAATCATTTATTGCTCTTACTTAATTTTATACAATAATTTCCCTATTTAAACTAACCACAATGACGCGCTTCATACAAGAAATCTCTAGAATGCATATAAATTCTTGTTTGTTGAAATCACACAATAGAAACGGATTCCTGAATATTCGCGCTCGAGTCGTTACATTGGCGTCGGCTTTTCCATTCCAATGTAACTTCGTAACACTGCCTTCTCAAATTAGATCGTCCTAATCTGACCAATTATTCTCGTGTTAAGCCTTGAAACTGTCAACGAGCATCACCTTCATGTTATCTATGGGGCCGCGTTGGATTCGATACACCATTTCGTTGTGCCTCTTTATATTCGTCTACGGACCTTGAGTATTGAGTTCATGTCTCGGTTTTATTCGGTCACTCGCACGTTATCCTTTGTCTAGCTCATGAATGTGAAGCAACCTGTTCCGCAAACCGTCATTATAGTACTCGGCTTCCATGTCCATTATCTAGTGACCCGAACACCATGTCACTGGGTAAACAAAGCTCACTTCCAAATAACACCTTGGCTGTCTAACTGTGTTGTATTCTATAGAGCTGTCCTGTATACAATCAGAAATATAGGTGTTATGGTCGTCCCAATTGTCCTGTCGGTTTGTCAACTTCAGAGAGATGTTGCTCGATCATCTTGTTCGAATTCCCAAATATTCCATCTGATTGTTGATACAATGATGTGGGTCTGGTCTTGTGAATGATTGTGGAGTTGCGCCCTTGGTCCGAATGCAGTTTCAATGAAATTCCAAACCTCGTAAAAGCGAGGACTTCCTACACCACACTTCTTCGAAATAGTGAAAATTTCAGGTCACTTTTTGAAATAGTCCATGTCAACCAGGGTGTATTTGTTGCCACTGCGCGTCGCAGGGAATGGGCTAGCTATGTCTATTGCCACACCGTACTTGTCCTTCTTAAGATCGCATTTCGGGACATTGACTTGCTGCGCATGTTGCACATTGTCGTCACCAAGTCTTGACGAAGGTCTTGTTGACTCTCGAGTGAGCTCCGGATGTCCCATTATAAACTTCTTCTAAACTCTTACAAGTAACAACTTTGGTCCTGAGCATGACCAATTGGGTTTTGACCACGTAAGCACCTGCACACTACCAACAGCGCTATTCTTGACATCCTTCGCAGTTTTGCGTATACTCATTATTGCGATTGATGCCCCTATATGCGAATACCTTTTGGAAAGAGTATTTTTGACAAATCCTTCGTACCTACATGAAACCATTCCGTTTAAAAATGACGGCAACTTCAAAATCTATAAAAGTAGCAAAAAAAAGATTTGACGTTTCATTCAATTCAATATCTCTAATAATGTTAATGTAAATTTTGGAAATCAATGTCATTTACTATGAATGAATCTCCACCTTTACGCGGCAGAAATATCGTCAAGCGATCAAAACCTATAAATATAGGAAAACACGTTTGTTAGTTCGATTCACTAGATAGGTACAAACAAAGTAAATAAATTTACCATTGCCCTTGTTGCAGTATACGCATTCCTCCTTTATTGTGGTCTCACATGTGATTCCAAAGTTTCGATTAAAAACCTGCATAATTTTTTAGACAATCCAAATATTCGTGTAAATTCATCTTCAAATAAAACGTCAAATGTACCGATGTTATTAAACCAATGATAATGCCTCGTCTCCGCGAATGTCCGTAAGTTATGCGAATGGTTAAGAATAGAGTTCTTAGAATTCCATTCGACATTTGACAATTTTCCTTGAAACTTAAGCTTCTAGGTGAAATTTTGTGCCAGGATGGCCTGGATTTGCGCGACTCTTTCAAATTCAAAAATGGTTTGATGTCACTATTTTCCAATTGGTCACTTGTAAGCTGTTCGGAACTCTATTCTTGATCCGTGTCAGATTTGAGGTTTCTGACGGGATTTCCTTCACGCTGATCAATTCTGATGCAGCACTAGCAATGAACTGGACATAAACGCCTGGATAAGGTTTCTGCGTTGTTGCAGTTCTCCATAATGTTTCATTTGAAAAATGTAATTTTGCAACTTCTACAGCCATGCTAACCTGTCCTCTCGGCAGTTTCGTGTTTCGAAAGCCGTTTAAGCGATGCATGGTCTGAACTTATGAGAATTGTTAGTCTATAAACGTACTTGTGGAAATGATCTACTACACCGACTATCGCTACCAGTACGTTTCTTGTATCGTCGATGTTTCTCTTGGGACTCTTGGTAAGCACTTTACTATAGTATTCAAGGACCCTTCGTTCTCCATCGTGTATTGGCAACAGAATACCTCTACTCATCCAAGATAGATTTTCCACATCCCGTGGCTAGCCTAATAGCCTACTACAACTGCTGACAAAAACAATCAGCAGTCTAACTCTCACGCGCATCTTTTCTGCGCACGCCGCCATTAGGGGATACCATCCTGTCATTAAACGGCAGGGATGCCGACATTTTAATTTATTTGTTTATTTCTGACAGAGGTCATAGGCGTGCGGTGAAGAGCGGAATTTTAGTTATGATTTTCAAAGTCATTTTAGTATATTCGTGTTGTCATTTATGGTGTAATCACTTATCATTCTTATATATTTAAAAATATTAATAAATTAGTAAGGATAAATATTATTATATGTAAGTAA